TGAAGGGCGGAGTATAAATCCAATCTCCTCCTCCTCCGCCTCTTCTTCTTCCTCCTCCTCCTCCTCCTCCTCCTTCTTCTGTAATACCATAGAGTCTACCCTCCACAGAGTCCACCCTCTGTAGCCTCTGAAGTCTGCAGTTGTAATTCTGGGAGATCTCCAGGCCCCGCCTGGAGGTTGGGAGCCCTATTCATGAGGTAACCGCTTTCCACAAATTACCTTTGTGATACAAACGTGTTTTGTGCAGAGAAGAAGAAGAAGAAGAAGAAGAAGAAGAGGAAGAGGAGGAGGGGGAGGAGGAGGAGGAGGAGGAGGAGATTGGATTTATACCCCGCCCTTCACTTGGAGTCTCAGAGCGGCTTACAAACTCCTTTCCCTTCCCCTCCCCACAACAGACACCCTGTGAGGTGGGTGGGGCTGAGAGAACTCTGACACAAACTGCTCTTTTTCAAGGACAGCTGTGCCAGAGCTTGTGACTGACCCAAGGTCACATCAGCAGGTGCAAGTGGAGGAGTGGGGAATCAAACCCGGTTCTCCCAGATTAGAGTCCGCACACTTAACCACTACACCAGACTGGCTGAGTCCATAATCAAGAGCACGGGTGCTGCTGAGGTTTCTGGGAATGAAAAGAGTCTAGCTTGGATTCCACCTGGATCTGTGGAGCCAGTTCCCCCGGTTTCCATGGGGAAAGAGAGCCGATACCTTGCTACACAGAGAGGGCCGGGAAAGAACCTTGACTCAGGTTCAGGGTGAGTCAAAGGTTTCCAGTCTTGCCACCTTCACAGCAAGGGAAGATTACGGGTGATGTTGCAGCAGCATGTGGGATGTACCCGAATGGGGATGGCAACAGGTGGGAGGGAATCGAACGTCTAAGCAAGCGTATTTCCTGCTGGGGTGTTTTGTCTTCCACACCTCTCTTTGCTTCAAAGAGTGGAACACCCATGGTAGAATCCAGGGAAGCTTCAAAGCACCACCCACCAATGCTCCCTCTAAGCTGTAGAGTCTTGTGCGCAAAAATTCTACTGTGTGAGCTACCGGCATTAAAGTTGTGAGCGAGCGATTTGGCTGCTGCATAAATTAGTTTGCTCTAGAGCCATCCTTCCTGAACTAAGACAGAAATGTGTGAGCTGGAGGCTAAAAGACTGTGAGCTAGTTCACACTAACTCAGCTTAGAGGGAACACTGCCACCCACCTCTAAAAACTTGGATAAACAGGACTGCATTTGCCATCCTGCTTGGTATGTAGAGTTGCCAGCTCAGAGTTGGGAAATCCTTGGTGATTTGGGGGTGGAACCTGGAGCGGGCAGGGGAGGGACCTCAGCAGAGTGTATTGCGATAGACGCCACCCTCCACCGTTAGCCATTTCCTCCGGGGGAAAGGATCTCCGCAGCCTGGGGATCAGTTGTGAAAGCAGGAGGTCTCCAGGCCCCATCTGGAGGCTGGCAACCTTGGGCAACTAGAATCATAGAGATGGAAGGGACCTCCAGGGTCATCTAGTCCAGCGGCGTCCAACTCATTTGTCACGAAGGCCGGATCTGACATAAATGTCACTTTGTCGGGCCGGGCCATGTGTGCCATAAATTGGAATGCCGGGTACCAGAGACATAAACCGTATAAAGGACAGCAGCTGGTAAGCTCTGAGTTGGTGTATCCTTGCTGCAAGGCCTCATGGGCAGGGAGGGGGGAGCGGAGGAAAACCCATATGGGCGGACTGGAGAGCCAGCGGTGCAGCACTGGGCAGACACCCCCACACTGCTTGACTGCTACAGACAAGGTTGTTCCGCCGTGCTGAAGCCACAATCGGAGTGGCTCCGCCCATCCCCCCCCGAGCAGTCTCCTGTTCCCTCCCTTGCATTAATTGCTCACAGGCTGCATAAGAGTCCTGGGTGGGCCAGTTCCGGCCCCCGGGCCTTATGTTTGACACCCCCGATCTAGTCCAATCCCCTACCAATGCTCCCTCTAAGCTGTGGAGTCTTCTGAGCAAAAATTCTACTGTGTGAGCTCCTGGCATTAAAGCTGTGAGCGAGCGATTTGGCTGCTGCCTAAATTAGTTTTCTTTGGACCCCTCCTTCCTGAGTGAAGACGAAAATGTGTGAGCCAGGGGCTAAAAAACCTGTGAGCTAGCTCACACTCACTCAGCTTAGAAAGAACACTGCCCCCTACACAATGCAGGACATTCACAAATACCTCCCTCCCACACCCGCAGTGACCCCAGTTCCACACCCAGAAGATGAGTAAAAAAAACAACCCTGCAGGATCCCCAGCCAAACTGGCCCGGAGAAAATTTGCTTCCTGACCCCAAAGTGGCAGTCAGCGTTTCCCTGGGCGCGTAAGAAAGGGCCACAAGAACTAAGCACTGAGGAAACCTTTCTTGCCCTCCCTTTCATGATAAGAACATAAGAGACGTCAATGTTGGATCAAGCCAAAGGCCCATCCAGTCCAACACTCTGTGTCACACAGTGGCCAGAAATACCAGGTGCCATCAGGAGGTCCAGCAGTGGGGCCAGGACACTAGGAGCCCTCCCACTGGTGACCCCCCCAGGCACCAAGAAGACAGAGCATCACTTGCCCCAGACCGAGAGTTCCTGTCTATACCTTGTGGCTAAGAGCCACAAATGGACCTCTGCTCTATATAAGAACATAAGAGAAGCCAATGTTGGATCAGGCCAATGGCCCCTATCTATTTGTTGTTCAGCCGCAGTCGAGTCCGACTCTTCGCGACCCCATGGACCAGATCCCGCCAGGCCTTCCTGTCTTCCACCGTCCTCTGAAGTTGGCTCAACTTCATGTTCGTTGCATCTATGACACTGTCTAACCATCTCATCCTTTGCCGTCCCCGTCTTCTTTGACCTTCAATCTTTCCCAGCATCAGGGTCTTCTCCAGGGAGTGCTCCCTTCTCATTTGGTGGCCAAAGTATTTGAGCTTCAGTTTCATTATCTGGCCTTCCAGGGAACTGTCAGGGGTGATTTCTTTTAGGATTGACTGATTTGATCTTCTTGCAGTCCAAGGGACTCCCTATCTATACCTTGTGGCTCATAGCCACGGATGGACCTCTGCTCCATATGCTTATCTAAAATGATCTAAGAGCAAGCGCCCAGTCGGGTGGCTCTGTTTCTGTGGGCCAAGCAGTGAGGGAACAGAGATGAGAGAAAAATCGATAAGTGTCGCAGCTGATGTCGCACCCACGTCAAAGGCAGCAAATCAGTAACTTTCCGAAACGTCGGTTAGACACGCGCACCCGATCCTTTGTCAACAGGCATTTACAAACAGTCATTTATGGTTCGGGGAAGGGATCGCCCCTCCGCTCGGACAGGCCGGTGGTAGGAGGCTGGAGTGGGTGGGTGGTATGTGGCTCGACCCCAGCAGATAACTCTGTTTGCTTCAGCAGCACATGCTCGGTTGCTTGCCGCCGATGGGGCTTGGGGTCGGATAAGGATTTGACTCTTTTATTTGTATCCCATCTTTCCCCCCCTATTGTGGGGCTCAAGGCAAGGTACCTGGGTTTCCTAGGAAATCTCCTCATTGGGCGCTCTTTGGATCCAGGCCAGCCAAACTTCAGCAATGTGCCTGGATTGTTAGGAGTACCAGTCTCCAGGTGGGGCCTGGAGATCTCCCAGAATTACAACTGATTTTCAGACAACAGAGATCAGTTCCCCGGAGGAAATGCATAGATGCTACAACCGGATTCCTTCTCTTTCGTTCTTCTTCTTCCGAGCGTTGCAATTGAGGCGAAAGGTTTGAACCTGGGTTTCCCTTCTCCTAATCTGGGGCTCTAACAACTAGGCTCTATGACAGGTGAGCCGGAGGCTAAAAAACTGTGATCTAGCTCACACTAACTCAGCTTAGAGGGAACACTGGAAGGGGGGGGGGAGACGCCTTTTTTGTGTTTGCAAGTGCAGCGTCTTCATTTGGATGTTAGTTGGGTGGAGCTGCCCGCACCTCAGTTTGGTGTAGTGGTTAAGTGTGTGGACTCTAATCTGGGAGAACCGGGTTTGATTCCCCACTCCTCCACTTGTACCTCCTGGATGACCTTGGGCAAGCCGTAGTTCTGATAAGAGCTGTCCTTGAAAAAGAGCAGTTTCTGTCAGAGCTCTCTCAGCCCCACCTACCTCACAGGGTGTCTGTTGTGGGAAGGGGAAGGAAAGGGAGTTTGTAAGCCGCTCTGAGACACCTTTGGGTAGTGAAGGGCAGGGGATAAACCCAATCTCTCCTCTCTCTCTCTCTTGCGTTGCAGAGTTGTGGTCCCAACACAGGATTGCCAACCTCCAGGTAGCACCTGGAGATCTCCCGGAATGACAACTGACTACAGGGATCCGTTCCCCTAGAGAAAACAGCCGTTTTGAAGGGTGGGGTCTACACCATTGCAGCCGGCTGAGGGCCCCAAACTCCCCAAACCCCGCCATGCCCAGTCTTCACCTCTAAAATTAAGGCTGCGACTAGGGCTGCCAAATGCCCCCGGGGGGCGGATTTCCCCCCGCTTTCGAGCCCCGCTTTCCGCTCCCGCGCGTACGTTCCAGACACCGGCCGGGAGCCCCCCGCTCCTGGCCAAAACATATTTGGCAACCCTAGCTGCGACTCTCCAGATGGGGCCCGGAGACCCACCACAATTAGAACTGATCTCCAGACTGTAGCCATCAGTTCCCCTGGAGAAAACGGCTGTTTTAGAGGGTGGGCTCTGGGACACTAGGCTGTGTTGGGGTCCTTCCGCAGGCTCCGCCCCCAAATTTCCAGGAATCCCCCAACCTGGAGTTGGCAACGCTGACTGCTGAGCTCTTTTCAGTGGCCTAAAAACCCTGCGTGGGAATGAAGCCAGCCCCACATAGGCATGATTCAGCAGTGCCCTCATAAGCGGAGCTGCCAAGGAATCTGCCGATGTGGCGTTTCAGCATGACTCATCTACAAGCTCGCCCGGCGGCAGCGGTCAGCTCCCGGTTACAAAGCCGATATCTGAGCACACCCAGGACTCAGGTGCAGAGAGACAGCGGGCAGATGCTGCCTACCTTCTTTCTTCATTCCTGCCCGGAAGCATTTCTTTAGCCGGCAGTAACGACACTGATTCCTTTTGTCCTTGTCTATCACGCACTGTCGGCTGAACCTGGAAAAGGAGAGAGGTGGAGCCTTAAACACTTCCCCGAACGATTCAAACATAGAAATATAGAGCTGGAAGGTACCCCAAGGGTCATTTAGTCCACCCCCGTACAATGCAGGAAATGCGCCCCCCACTCGCCCAGTGACCGCCTGCTCTATTCCAGGCCGTGCCTCGTTCTTATGAACATGGCACTCCTCACAATTAACATCTAATAGGTAAAGATAAAGGTTTCCCTTGCTCGAAAGCCAGTCGAATCCGACTCTAGGGATGCGGTGCTCATCTCCGTTTCCAAGCCAAAGAGCCAGCATTGTCCGAAGACGTTTCCGTGGTCATGTGGCCAGCATGACTAGATGCGGAGGCACACGGAATGCTGAAGTGGTACCTCTTTATCTACTTTCAATTTCTTGCTTTCAAACTGCTAGGTTGGCAGGAGCTGGGACCAGAGATGGGAGCTCACTCCGTCATGTGGCACACTCGGGTCTCGAACTGCTGAACTACCGACCTTCCGGTCTGCAGCTCAGCGTCTTAACCACTTGAGCCACCGCATCCCCTTAACATCTAATACATCCATACGTATTCAATTTGGTCCACAAAGGACTCCTTAAGCTGTTTAAGGAGTCCTTTGTGGACCATATTGAATATGTATGAAGGTATTAGATGTTAACAAGAAGAGAGACCCGCGATACTCGCAGGGGGGGGGAGAGTATTCGCCCTGGCTCTTGGCCTGTGGAAGCAGGAGGACCTCAGGACTGAGGAAGAAGCGTGCCCCCAGTGTGGGGATTTAGATATCCGCACGAAGGCGGCAACTTGGCTATTAGATATATAGATTGTTTATATTACAAACTTTGAATTAGATTATCTTTAGGACTTTACTTGTCCATTTGTATTTATTTTTTTTGCACAGTGCTACAGCCTTAGTGCTGTGATTTGGTATCAGATCTCCAGGGGGTGGCTGGAGGCCGCCTGTTGTTACACCTGATCTCCAGGTGACAAGAGATCAGTTCACCTGGAAAAAAACGGCTGCCTTGGAAGGTGGATTCCGTGACATCATACCCCACTGAAATCCCTCCCCTCCCCAAACACCACCCTCCTCTGGCCCCACCCCCAAAATCTCCAGGTATGTCCCAACCCTGGCAACCCTAACTTTCACCTTCCCCACCAGAAAATGCAAGAATCTCCCATCTGTTAACCCTCAGCAAGCTAGATTCGAGTCCAGTAAAAACGTAGAGACCAAGATTTTCGCAGTATAAGCTTTCAAGACTCAGGGCTCCCTTTGGCAGATATCTGAAAACAGGGTAGCCCTAGGGATGCCAGCCTCCAGGTGGGACCTGGAGATCAATGCTCCCTCTAAGCTGTGGTTGACTGCTGGCACCGTTTCCTATCATTTTTTGCCTTGTGGTATTCTGCTTGTGGTGTGATCTGTCTGTTTTGTGGTGTGGCATGATTGTGTTATTGGGTTTGTTTCTGTTGAAGGGGAAGTGATGTGTTGTGAGTGAGGACATATTTTACCTCAGAATACAGCAGGTCCCATATGCAACTGACAATGCCAACTGTCTTGCGGAGGGGGGGAGGGAGTTTGAGGTGTGGAATGAAGTCAAATCAGCTTCCATATGCAAATGACCTTGAAACGCTGGCCCAATCAGAGAAGAGTGGGCTGAAGCGGTCCAGCCGTAGAAGCCCCGTCCCTGCACTCAGTCTGCAGATGGTCCTCTCCTGTCAGAGAACCAGAGCAGACTGACCGGAACACTCTGGCCGGGGCTGACGTGGGCGGGACTACACAAAGCAGCCAGTCAACCCAGCCAGCGTCATCTGACTGACAGTTCAAGCCTCCAAACACTGTTGGTGTGAATTGGAACGTTGGGCCCCACTACGGCTTTATATATAAGGGAGAGATATCCCGGCCTCCTCGCCTGGGCAGGCTCAGGGTGGCTTACAGGTTATATAAATGTATATATTAAAACAGCAAAATAAGTTAAAACATAGTATTTAAACCCCAGCATATAAATTCGTAAAATCATAAGTGCCAGTGACATAGATATCAATAAGAGCTAATAAGTGCTGTCGGTCTGCTCTCGGCATCCAGACGGTCAGTTACCACCGCAGTCTGGGCTCCTGCCAGGCTGTTAAATCAGTGCCAATGTTTGGGCCAGACAGATTCAGGATATTGGTCCACATAGCAGAGTACTCTCTTCTGACTGGCGGGAACTCTCTGGGTAGGGTTGCCATCCTCCAGGTGACCCGTGGAGACCTCCCAGTATTGCACTTGGTCTCCAGACAACCAAGATCAGTTCCACCGGAGACAATGGCTGCTTTGGAGGGTGGACTGTATGGCATTTTACTCTGCTAAGGTCCCTTGACCCCGGCCTCCTCCTGCTGCACCCCCCCCCCCAATCTCCAAGTATTTCCCAACCTTGAGCTGGCAAACCTATCCTGAAAAGCAACTCTCCCCTGGCTCCATCCCCAAATCTCCAGAAATCTCCCACCCCAGAGTTGGCAACCCCGTGCACAGGGATGGCTGCAGTGAATGCTTAACATTTGCGCTTGACCGAGCTGGAAAATCCCCAGAATCCTCTTCGAGCCCCAGTCACCTGCACGAATAGATGTGATTCTTACGGACACTCCTTCGGAAGAACCCTTTGCAGCCGTCGCAGCTGGAAGCCCCGTAATGCTTCCCAGTGGCGCGGTCTCCACAGATGGCGCACAGCGAGCTAATCTCGCTCCCGAGCAAGCTGCCATTGATTGTCTCCGAAGTAAGGGCTTCTGCAAAAAACAAAATGGAGTCAGTTGTGCTTCCTGGTAAAGAGCGATTGCGTAAAGGTGCTGGAAAGGTGGCAAGGAACAGCCCCATCTACGTCAAGCAGGGCTATTTTTGGGCAGGAACGCACAGGAACGGAGTTCCGGCTGGCTCCCGAGTTGGCCACGCCCAGCAGGAACTCATTAGCATAATAGGCCACACCCAACAGCAGAAACTCATCAGGATTGGCTACATTCGGGGTGTGTGGCCTAACATGCAAAGGAGTTCCTGCTACAAAAAAAGGCCCTGGGTTTTGACAACAAACAAGGTAAACAGAATAAGAAGCAAAAGGTGGGTGTGGCTGGATGACAACACTTCTGGTAACATGGGGTGCGGCCTAATGAGCTGTGCTGTCAGGGGTGTGGCCTAATATGCTAATGCATTTCTGCTGTTGGGTGTGGCCTATTATGCTAATGAGTTCCTGCTGGGCTTTTTCTACAAAAAAGAGCCCTGACGTCAAGGATGGGCTGACTTCCGCCTTGCATGTAAGAAAGCTCTTCCTCTCTACACGGTTAAGAATTTTCTCCCTTATTTAAAAGATTCTCTGGGTAGATTTCACTAGATGTAAAACCTTTGCACCTTGTTGGGTGCAGTACATCCTGACACGGATGGCGCAAGCTAGCTCGATCTTGTCCAATCTCAGGAACTAAGCAGGGTCGGCCCCGGTCGGTACTTGGATGGGAGACCATCACCAAAGAGATCCAGAGTTGCCACACAGAGGCAGGCAATGGCAAGCCATCTCTGTTCATCATCTCTCACCGTGAAAACCCTACAGGGTCGCCATAAGTCAACTGCGACTTTACAGCACTTTCCACCACCGGGGGCAGAATGGATGGCTTCAAGAGGGAATTAGATAAACATCTGGAGCAGAGGTTCATCAGTGGCTATGAGCCACAAGGTATAGATAGGGACTCTTGGTCTGGGGCAAGGGATGTTCTGTATTTTTGGTGCTGGAGGGGGCCAACAGTGGGAGGGCTTCTAGTGTCCTGGCCCCACTGCTGGACCTCCTGAGGGCACCTGGAATTTTTGGCCACTGTGTGACAGAGCGTTGGACTGGATGGGCCATTGGCCTGATCCAACATTGGCTTCTCTGATGTTCTTATGGATAAACATCTGGAGCAGAGGTTCATCAGTGGCTGTTAGCCACAAGGTATAGATAGGAACTCTCAGTCTGGGGCAAGGGATGCTCTGTATTCCTGGTGCTTGGGGGGAGGGGGCAACAGTGGGAGGGCTTCTAGTGTCCCGGCCCCACTGGTGGACCTCCTGATGGCACTGGTATTTCTGGCCACTGTGTGACACAGAGTGTTGGACTAGATGGGCCATTGGCCTGATCCAACATTGGCTTCTCTTATGTTCTTATCAGAGCTTCACTGCAGCATGGAGTTTGTGATCCCCAAAATTATTCACAGATCTTTGGAAGGAAGTACGTTGCTAGGACGAATCTTAGAATTTTATGCCAGACCAATCCAGCTCTAGCCAGAGACCAACAACAGTAAGATGCCATCTAAGAAACTGAGTTATGTTTTGGGCAATTTGGGAGACAGGAGAAATAACTCCTAGATTTTTATTTTTTTTAACTGGGAGTATCTCTGAGATATATTTGTGACCAGAATCTTCTGGCAGAAGAATCTCCCTCTCGGTCCAAGATCCACACACATTTTGGCTGGGATGAGCGCACCATGTGTAGCTTGAGGATTTACAACCTAATTTCGGAGGCTATAAATTTGTCCTTCCAACTCCATCACCCTCTGAGGAAGTGCGTCTATTGTTGCCTTTTAGGATATACAACGCCTCGTCTTTCAACGTGAAAACGTATTATTGACAGTTAACAATCGGCAGGATGGGCTTTGTTCCTTCTGTTGCTTGGTGGAAGGTTGCAGAAGTATTTTAAATACAGAGGTCCCGTTGTTATTGCTTAAGATGTACACGGTGCCGTTTGAGAACAGGGACAGGCTGTGGGGTTCACTGGTAGAGGAGAATCTCTGCATGTGGAAGAGACCAGGCCCCAATCCCCGGCATCTCCAAGAAAGAAGAGGAAGAAGAGGAAGTGGAAGAAGAAGAGGAGGAGGAGGAGATTGGATTTATACCCCACCCTTCACTCAGAGTCTCAGAGCAGCTTACAAACTCCTTTCCCTTCCCCTCCCCACAACAGACCCCACAACAGACACCCTGTGCAGTGGGTGGGGCTGAGAGAGCTCTTTCCAGAACTGTCCTTGAGAGAACAACTCTGACAGAACTATGGCTTGCCCAAGGTCATCCAGCAGCTGCAAGTGGAGGAGTGGGGACTCAAACCCAGTTCTGCCAGATTATAGTCCACACACTTAACCTTGTACCAAATTGGCTGTCCTTAACCAGTGATAGGCAAGACTTAGCAGCCAGAGAACATTTTCAGAGTGGCAAGCAGGGGTCATTTCCTGCAGGAGCGCACAGGAGCGGAGCTCCGTCCGTAAAGAGCCCAGGGGGCGGGCACATGCAACAAGCCCCACCCCCTGCTCCCAGCAGCCCTCAGTCAGAGCAAGAAGCAGTCAAGTAAGTTGCAGAGCTCCCCCCAGTCCCCCAGTCCAAAACAGTCCAGTGGCACCTTTAAGACTAGGTTTTATTAGACCAAGTTTTATTCAGGTACAAGCTCTCCCTCCTCTGCGAGGACAGATCTGCATGTGCCCCCCCCCCAATAGCTAGCAATCCAAAACAGTCCAGTGGAGCCTGAGCGGTGGGTGTTGCCTTCTGACACACTTCCGGTGACGTCAGGGGGTGTGGCATATGCAAATAAGTCATGCTAATGAGTTATGCTAATGAGCTCCTGCACCTCTTTTTCTACAAAATGACCCCTGGTGGCAAGACTGGCCAAAGTACAGAGTGGCTTCCTATGACCCCATGGTACCTTCCTGCCGTGAGCACATGGCAGAATGGGTCAGACAACGGCCATGTTTGGAAGCCACAACAAGAATCCGTTTGTTTTACTCTACCATGTGTCCTCATCTGGATGTCCCAGGCTGGCTTTGGAAGGCGGACCCTATGGCCTTATACTCCACTGAGGCCCCTCCCCTCCCCAAACCCCACCCTCCACCCCCCAAATCCCCCATCTGCCCTCACTCATCAAAGCCGTG